AGTTATCACATTTTCAGTTCTGTCTGTAACAGGGCAGGAAAGATGTAGTGATGCTAATATAATGCTAAAAGTTATAAAATGCTATAAAAGTGAATCATCATGTGTCCAGTTAAATAAAAATGGGGTTGCTGAAAAAAGACGTGAGGACATGGGTTTCTGTTTCCAGGAGGGCCATTATTTACTCTGACTTCTTCCATCCTGGGCCAAAATGCCTTCACAGTGATGCTCTTTTGTTGTTAGAAATCTCACAGAGCACATGTCAGCCCTGTCTGTCCTGACCAATCAAAGTCCTCCTTCTCTCCACCCCCTTCTCCCCCTGCAGCTGAGGTGACCTGCGCCCCCAACCAATTCCAGTGTGCCATCACCAAGCGCTGCATCCCACGTGTCTGGGTGTGTGACCGTGACAACGACTGTGTGGATGGCTCAGACGAACCCACCAACTGCAGTAAGGACAGAACCTACCCTCATCCTCACCCCACCTCACCCCCCTCCTAATCCTGTGCTGGTATCACTTAATTACATCTGCATGTCTGTCACCAATGAGGCGGGGCACTGGGTGGTGCTATTTCCATAGGTGGAGCATATAAAAGGCATACGAATGAAAGGTGGGATAAGTTCCATTTAAACTTAGTCAATTGAGGCAACGAATGGAGATAATTAAATTCCCCGTCATTCTCTGTGAAGATTTGTGAATGAAAATGAATTAATTGAATTTCAGCCCTCCCCCCACTCCCCTGGCTGCTCCTGCTCTGTATATCTGACCCCTCCCCTCACTCCCCTGGCCAGTCCCACTCTGTTTAACTGACCCTCCCCTAATTCCCCTGGCTGCTCCTGCTCTGTATATCTGACCCCTCCCCTCAGTCCCACTCTGTTTAACCAGTCCCACTGGCTGCTTCTGCTCTGTAACTGACCCCTCCCCTAATTCCCCTGGCTGCTCCTGCTCTGTATATCTGACCCCTCCCCTCACTCCCCTGGCCAGTCCCACTCTGTTTAACTGACCCCTCCCCTAATTCCCCTGGCTGCTCCCGCTCTGTATATCTGACCCCTCTCCTCACTCCCCTGGCCGCTCCCGCTCTGTATATTTGATCCCTCCCCTCACGCACCCTGGCCACTCCCGCTCTGTATATTTGATCCCTCCCCTCACGCACCCTGGCCACTCCCGCTCTGTATATTTGATCCCTCCCCTCACGCACCCTGGCCACTCCCGCTCTGTATATTTGACCTCTCCCATTGTGCCCATCCAGCCCAGATGACATGTGGAGTGGATGAGTTCCGCTGTAAGGACTCTGGACGCTGTATCCCAGCACGCTGGAAGTGTGATGGTGAAGATGACTGTGGCGACGCCTCTGATGAGCCCAAGGAGGAGTGTGGTGAGGGATGGCTTGGGGGCCTGGTTGGTAGTTCAGTTTGAACAGAGAAATTTTGGACCAGATAGCAGCAGATTTCATTGCATACCTTTTTTGGCATTCTTTCTATCATACATTAACATATTCTTATAGGTATTTCCCACGCATGTAAGGATTAATTTAGCATATTATATAAGTAGTTGCACAATGGAGCATGTAAGAAATACCATGATTTGTAAAGACAAAACTTAATTTACACAGACAAGGTGGTGTTACTTTAGCTTTCCAGATATTTCTGATGACAGCGGGGGTGGTACCTATGGTGATGACCCCCATCTTCCAGCAGATCCTCATTCTGTCTCTTTCTCTGTCTGTGGCTGTCTGTCTGGCTGTCTGTATCTGCTTGTATGTTAATTGGCCTGTCTGTGTGTCCATCTGTCTCCCTGTCCGTGTGTGTGTGCACCCCCTCTCAGATGAGCGTACTTGCGAGCCCTACCAGTTCCGCTGTAAGAATAACCGCTGCGTCCCGGGCCGCTGGCAGTGTGACTACGACAATGACTGCGGGGACAACTCTGATGAGGACAAGTGTGGTAGGTTTCCCCATGCCACCTCCCTCTCTCAGCCCCTCTCCCCACCTACCAAGGGACCGAGACCAATGCCTGGCTATTTATCTTCAAGGGAACAGGTCAGAGTTTCAGTCAGCTGCTCAACTCATCTGATGAGTCAGAGGGTTGACTGTAGTTTCAGTCTCATGGGCTGAGTTTGAGATAGGTGCATATAGTCTGTGCTAAAAATCACGCATTGATGCAGAATGCTGCTAGTCACTGGCTGTTCTTATTCAGTGGTGTCATTATCCTGAAGTCAAGCGCATGACATTGTCAATTCCATGACTGAAGTTGGTGGCTGCAAGGTGTTTAACACCATTTTGTGGTTTTGTGTGTGTGTGTGTGTTTGTTTGTTTGTTTGTGTGTAGTTGTAGTTGCGGTTGTGGTTGTGGTTGTAGTTGAGAGCTTAATTTTCTGTCCTGTGAGGTTTTTTTTGCTTTGGTCATTGACACATCTCACTTCATCTTGGCTTTATGCCTCATTTTACACTGACCTGTGGGCGTGAGTCAGAGGTAGGTCTCTCCACCTTCAAAACTCTCATCCTCACCCCTGACCAAGCCCCCAGTAGCCCCCATCCCACTCCCAGAACCTGGGGGCTGGGCAGGGGAGGGTGCTAGGACTGTGAAACACATTAAATGTACTCCAGCTCTGCCTCCTCAGTGGATCACTGGCTCCTGAGCTCGCCCCTGCCCCTCCCCGTCCTCAGGAAACCCCCCACATCTGTTTGCTCCCTAGTGGCTGTTCCCTCTCCATGCGTCTGTACACTGGAGGTCTACTCAGAAGCGGCCCTTAAAAACACAGTGTTTAACTGTGCACTCATAAATATTAGTTCATATTTATATTAGACAATATTAGACCTTACAAAAGCTGTGATGTGTCATGAGCATTTAACGTAATTTAAATCAATAAATGCCATCCTTGTTAAACAATCTCACGTTGTAGCTTTCACAAGCACACAAACTACAGACTGTTTCGCGAGCATAATCATTTACTCTATTTACGCGGTTGGTGTTGATTATTCTGTGAATTATTTGTTTTATTGTTAATCAAGGAGGATGGGACAAAAAAAGCAGGAGGAAAACAAAAGGAAATTGGAGCTTAATGTTCAGAAGGGAATCAGCAAAGGACAAAGACACATCACAACAAAGCAAAGCACAAAGACGCATCACAGGTGATGCTGTCATGCTATCAAGTACGTGAGCTGCTGTAATAAATCAAATCAAGCACTCAGAAGGGGAGGGGTGTAGTTATGAAACAGTGATTTTAGAACATATTAGAAACTGATTTTAGAACACTTTTAGAAATATGTATTTTGCCATGTAGGTATTCTGTAGAATGTAGAATCAACAGAAAATAGACAGTACTGTTGCTTCAGACTTGTGCTAGTGCAGCCTATGAATTCACCCTGTCATGGTTTTGTTACTCTTTATGTACAAAGACTCTTTCTACTTCTTGGTGATGCTCGACAGTTGCATCGTTGTACTTTGCAAAGAGTTGCAGGCAGTTTCAAGCCATTCAATAGTCAGCTTATAGTCACTGTGGGTAAGGCCATCTTGAGTCATTTAATGCAATCATGGATGCTGTCTCTCAAACGCACATCTCCTTACATCCTCCCTTTCAGACCAGCCCCTTTATCCCAGATACATGAATGCACCCCGTTACACCCAGAAATCCGAGCCCTAAAACATGTTATGTCTTCCTCTCTACCCTATTCTGCTGTTTACAGTGCTGTAAAATTTGATGTTTGCCAATTGCAGAACTTTTGCGAGTCTCTTTTTGGTTTTGTTCAAAGACCTCTGTTTAGTGTGGAGCGGTAGTCAGTTTGATAGCGTGTCTATGCATTTCCTGACTTCCCCTGGAGAGGGAAGAGTTAGTATCAGTGTGATTGGCCCTTTATGTTGAGTATTGCATGTTACCATGAATGTGACTGGCTCTTCGTGGTGAGTGTTGCACATTAACATCAGTGTGACTGGTCCTTTGTGTTGAGTGTTGCACATTAACATCAGTGTGATTGGCCCTTTGTGTTGAGTATTGCACATTACCGTGAATGTGATTGGCTCTTTGTGGTGAGTGTTGCACATTAACATCAGTGCGATTGGCTTTTTGTGTTGAGTGTTGCACATTAACCTCAGTTTGACTGGCTCTTTGTGTTGAGTGTTGCACATTAACATCAGTGTGATTGGCACTTTGACAGTGTGTGACAGTGTGTGTGCTCTCTGTCACCCCCTAGTGCCACGGCAGTGCTCAGGGAGTGAGTTCGCCTGCACTAACAGCCACTGCATCGCCATGAGGTGGTAGTGTGATGGAGACTGTGACTGTGCTGCAAATTAGATTTTTGCCAGCTGCAGAACCATTGTGTGTCTCATTTTGGTTCTGTTTAAAGATCTGTATAAAATGGAGCAGTATGTGGGGTTAGTGCCTGTGCCCTTCCCCTGGAGAGAAAAGAGTTAACATTTTGAGTAGTGCTTATTTACATCAGTGTGATTGGCCCTTTGTGTTGAGTGTTGTGTATTAACATCAGTTTGATTGGCTCTTTGTGTTGCGTGTTGCACATTAACATCAGTTTGTTTGGCTCTTTGTGTTGTGTGTTGTGTGTTAACATCAGTGTGACTGGCTCTTTGCATTGGGTGATGGTGTGTGTCCTCTCTGTCACCCCCTAGTGCCACGGCAGTGCTCAGAGAGCGAGTTTGCCTGCACCAATGGCCGCTGCATCGCGGGGAGGTGGAAGTGTGACGGCGACCACGACTGTGCCGATGGGTCAGATGAGGTAAAACTCGCCCTCCGCGACAGCCCTCTCTGCCGATTTCTGGCCCTCACTGCCAGTGCAAGCCTGGCTCTCACACACACTGAGGCATTGAGCCAGATCTGTGACAACACATCAGCTGCCATGATCCCTATTAATGCTCCAGTAGACAAACCTGTCTTCCCGCCGTCGTCAGCAGGAATGTGCCAGATGGCCACAGATGCTGAGCTGATAGATCGGTTGCCTCCTTTTGTTCAATGTTCATATCCAGTACAGACTCTTAAATGTGCACACACGCACTGATGCGGCAGTGTAGCACAGTGGTAAGGAGTAGGGCTCGTAACCCAGAGTTTGCTGGTTCAATTCCCCACTAGGACACTGCTACTATACCCTTGGGCAAGGTGCCAAACCCACAATTACTTCAGTGAATAGCTAGCTGTATAAATGGATAACATGTAAAAACTGTAACCTTATTGTCCTATAAATGACAATAATGACAATAAATGTAACATGCTTACGCATAAAGCTTAACTGGTAGTTGACACTCTGCCTGTGCTGTGCCGCGTCTGGATTTGAACTGGTGTACTCCTCACAGTCAAGCCCTTGCTGCTGATGAAGAGACAGAACCAGCCTAGCAGCGCTGATGGCTTGTAGCATGTCCCCCCTCTGCAGAATGGCTGCGACCTGAAGTGCGACAGTGACCAGTTCCAGTGCAAGAACGGCCACTGCATCCCCATTCGCTGGCGCTGTGACGCCGACGCCGACTGCATGGACGGCAGTGATGAGGAGAAGTGCAACAGTGGAGGTGAGGGACAGATGGACCGCTCTCTGCCCCCCCAATGGCTCTCAGAAATGCAGGGATAGCATTCAACCATTTGAGATGTCACCATCTGGAAAAGACTCCCTTGCCAGTAGGAAGGTAGCTACATGTATAGGGCTTAGCCAACTGTACTGTCTCCACTTTCTACGTCTGCACATGTAGCTAAAGTCGGGCAGCAGTGTGGTAGGGTGGTAACCAAAAGGTTGCAGGTTCTACTCCCTTGTATGGCACTGCTGCTGTACTCTTGGGCAGGGTGCTTAACCCAGAATTGCCTCAGTAAAGATGGGTAACATGTAAAGTAGAGATGCACGATAACTATCGGCACCGATAATTATCGGCCCGATATTGCAAAAAATTACGTCATTCAGATAACTCCGATAATAAAATTTTCGCCGATAAATAGAATCGATATAAGAAACCTAAATTCCTTGGATAATAATAATAATAATAATAATAATAATAATAATAATAATAAATAAATGTTCATTTGAAAAATTGGAACTGTTCTTGTTTTTTTTGTGATTACAGTAGTAGTGATATCATTTATATTCGGTTAGGACAGAGGCAGAGCTATAATGTTAAATTCATCTTTGCTCACTACATCTTAGCCTTTCTTACACTCAAGTAGGGATGCACGATATAGCCATCGCGATGTATGCACAGCTATTTTTAGCGCAATAACAGCTATCCCCGGTATGTGGCGTTAGGTTTTTTCCCGCATGTTTTTCAGTGGCTGCGGGTGAGCTGGAAACAGGGGAAGCGGAAACACTACCTTTAAATCTATCATTACTTTCAGCCTGTTCCCCTTTATCCTCTTTGATTAACAATAAAACAAATAATTCACTGAATAATTGACACCAATCGTTAATAAATGATTATGCTCGCGAAACAGCGCAGATTGTCTGTAGTTTGTGTGCTTTGGGATTACTTGCCACTTAATTGTTGAAATTGCCATCATTGTTATTTTGAGCATTTAACGTAATTTACATCGATAAATGCCATCCTTGTTAATTATACAATCTCACGTTGTCGCTTTCGCAAGCACACAAACTACAGACAATCTGCGCTGTTTCATGAATATAATCATTTATTTACGATTAGTGTCAATTATTCTGTGAATTATTTGTTTTATTGTTAATCAAGGAGGATAAAGGGGAACAGGCTGAAAGTAATGATAGATTTAAAGGTAGTGTTTCCGCTTCCCCTGTTTCCAGCTCACCCACAGCCACTGAAAAACATACGGGGAAAAAACCTAACGCCACATACCGGGGATAGCTGTTATTGCACTAAAAATAGCTGTGCGATACATCGCGATGGCTATATCGTGCTTCCCTACACTGAAGTGTGTATATAAACTATAAAAAAATTTATCGGTTATCAGTATCGGTATTGGTTATGAGAAGCAGGAATTTATCGGTTATCGATATCGGTTGTAAAAAACAGTTATCATGCATCCCTAATGTAAAGTTGTAATCTATGTAAGTTGCTCTGGATAAGAGGGCTCAATCACAATAATAATGTAGTGAAGTCATCCCAGCCAAGGAAACACTTTCCCCCAGTTCTAAGAGCATTAGCTGTTGGAGGAGAGTTTGGTACTGGAAGGACTGGAAAAGGGCTGGAATAACAGGAAGCATAGTTTTGTGGAGCTGCTGTGATTAAATATAGAACAGACTGAGAGACTAAATGCCATGTCCCCCCCGTTCTCCTGCCGCCATTTCCCAGTGGGACGACACTGCCCCCTGGAGGAGTTCCAGTGCAACAACACCCTCTGCAAGCCGCTGGCTTGGAAGTGTGACGGGGAGGACGACTGTGGGGACAACTCGGACGAGAACCCAGAGGAATGCAGTGAGTCTCCGCCTGCTGTCTCAGCTTGAGAGCACCGTCCTGCCTATCTTCTCTGGGTCCTAACACTTGCCCATCTGCCCTTCCTGCCTCTCAGGGAAATTCCAGTGTCCGCCCACCAGGCAGTTCCGCTGCCATAATGACCGTGTGTGCCTGTGGGTCAGCAAGCAGTGCGATGGTGTTGACAACTGCGGGGACAGCACCGATGAGCTCAACTGCCGTGAGTGTCCGCTTTGTGGTGTCTCCCAGACCCCTTTATGTGACAAATCACCGCTTTGCTGTGACAATCTTACCTCCCCCTTTACGGCCACATCTGCCACCAAAATGCACCCCTGGTCTAAAAGGCCCCCTGTTTTCATTAAGTAATTTTACACAGAAAAAGAGAAAAACTTAACAGCAGGTGTTAGCTTCTTACTTTAGAACCACAGCTGGCCACTGACCTCATCAAGCATTTCCACACAGAGAAAGAGATTACTCAACAAATTACCTGCATTTACCTCTACAGCTTGTTAGTGGATAGATAACCTTATGATTTCATGTTGTAGTAAATATTTCAGAGGGACTACTCACTACTCACAAGTGTGTATCTGTCTCTCAGAGGTCCCGCCAGCCATACCTGTCTGTGAGAAGGATGAGTTCCTGTGCAGCAATGGCAGGTGTATCAGCTCCACCCTGCGCTGCAACTTTTTTAACGACTGCGAGGACTACGGCTCTGACGAGATTGGCTGCAAGAGAGGTGCTGCAGACACGATGTGCCAGATGCATCATGCTGGCAAAATACTACGCAGCCAGGCACACCATGCTAGCAAAATACTACACAGCCTGGCACACCATGCTAACAAAATACTATACAACCAGTCCTGTAGCAGAGCGAGCGGGGGGGCAGAGGGTGCGGCTGTCCCAGGCCCACGGTTCTTCCAGTTACAAAGGGGCCCACCTTGGGCCCAATCTGCCTGACTGAACATGCATTTTTGTTGTTTAGTTAAATATTTTGAATAAAGTTTATTTGTGTGTCTTGATTGCGGCAAAAAAAGTCAGAGTGAGGGCGTAATGGTTTCGGCCGACCCCTAGCTAAGTTTCTTGACACAATATTTGTTTTGAATGAGCAGAGACACAATAGAGTTACTGAAAACTTTATTCGCTGTCCAGTATCCTTGTGTAAGTGTACAAACAGAAAAGTTATGCCCTCTGTTCGAGTCCCAAAGTAGGAACTAGGCGATTGCCTGGTGTCTTGTTTTATTCCCATCGCCATCACTGCTGATGGAGTAGGGCTGTGCGATATGACGATATATATCATGTGACGACAGAAAAACGTCTATCGTTTCATATTATGCTCTATTGTTTATTTCGTTGTGTCGCGAATCTACGGAGCCCCCCTGGTGACATTGGTGGGAAAAATATTATTGCGTGGCCACGAGTTAGTAATGCGTAGGAATGAGATAGCAATGCGTGGCCACAAGTTAGTAATGTGTGGCCACAAGATCAATAACTCGTGGCCATGAGTTAGTAAGGCATGGGAATGAGATAATTAAGTCGTGGCCACAAGTTAATAAGGCGCGGGAACGTGATAACTAAATTAACGTGATAACATCTAATTTTAAGTCTCTGGTATGATACTTTAACATTTCCCATCTGGCAACGCTGTTGCGTGGCCACGAGTTAGTAACGCGCATGCTTCATGCGTGATAGTAGCCCTACGGAGCTCGCCCAGTGTTGTCAGTAAACAACAGATTCCGTATCTGGTGGTCATGCATTATTAAGACGTGGCCACAATTTAATTATCACGTTCCCGCGCCTTATTAACTCATGGCCACGACTTAATTATCTCATTCCCACGCCTTACTAACTTGTGGCCACGAATGATTGATCTTGTGGCCACACATTACTAACTCGTGGCCACGCATTACTATCTCATTCCCACGCCTTACTAACTCCTGGCCACGCAATAATATTTTTCCCACCAATGTCACCAGCAGGCTCCGTACTTGGTTATGACTCGCGTATGATAATTTCCCTCAAAATACGATCATTTTAAGTCTCTGGTACGAAACTTTAACATTTCCCATCTGGCAACACTGTTGCATGGCCATGAGTTAGTAACGCATGCTTCATGCGTGATAACAGCCCTACGGAGCTCACCTGGTGTTATCAGTAAACAACAGATTGCATATCTTGTGGCCACGCATTATTAAGACACAGCCACAATTTAGTTATCATGTTCCCGCACCTTATTAACTCGTGGCCACGACTTAATTATTTCATTCCCACGCCTTACTAACTTGTGGCCACGAGTTATTGATCTTGTGGCCACACATTACTAACTCGTGGCCAGGGTTATTATCGCATACTAAAACTAAAACTAAGATGAAAACTAATGCCTTTGAGACATTTTCGTGAACTGAAATAAAATAATTTACCCGAGGAAAATGTAAAAATAAAACTAAACGAAACTAATAATGATCGCTAAAAACTAATAAAAATAAAATAAGAAAAGGGAAAAATAATTGTTGTTTGTGAGATAACTGTGGAGTGGTAGGACTGTAAGGCACCAGTCATGTTTATCACCGCTCTCAACCTGGAATGTCGGCCAGAACATTGCTTAAGGCCAGGATGCACTTTACTGAAGCACTGGTACAGGCATGGACTTCACACCGGAAACGGGAATAGAGGGATGGTGTTTAATTGTTTTCAGAATGTGGGTGTGGTTTTCTGTCAA